GGTTGTATAATAAAAGTGTTATGAAAATGTGAGAGGGGATAGAATTCAGAACCAGGTCAAGCCCTGGGCATGTGGGAGGCATCTGAATATGGGCACCTGTCTTGAAAATTTATTTAACATTTAAAAATTGTAAAATACAACAGATATGTAAAAAAAGAGTACTTAAAACAAATACATGTTTTACTGAATCAGTGAACATTCACGAAACCAGACAAAACCAAAACATTGCCAGTACTCCAGAAGAACCCTCTACCCTGTTCTTTCCTGTCACAAACCCCTCTCCCTAGTGATAAGCCACTACCTAAGATTTACTGGTAATTACTTCATGTTCTTCCATTTAGTTTTCCCTCTTTCATTCTGGATTTGCTATCTAACTACACACCTCTAAACAATGTTGTTAAATTCTCCTTATTTTTGAACTTTATATAAACACAACTATACTACAGGAGTTCTTTCATTTCATGCTTCTTTCACTTGATAATACTTTTTTAGGATTCATCCATGTCATTGTATGTATCTATAGTTCATTCATTTTCAACTCTGTATTGTATTCCATTGCACGATTATATCATGTTTCATTTATCCTTTGTACCATTCGTGGTCATTTGGGTTGTTTCTTGTTTGGAGTTATTACAAAAATACCCCAGAGAACAATCTTGTACGTGAGTCCTGGTGAACATGTACTTGAGTTCCTCTTGGCTATATTCCTAGGAGGAACTTCTGGGTCATAGAGTATGCATATTTTCAACTTCACTACCTAATACTAAACTTTTCTAAAATGATTGTACCAATTTACACTCCTATAAAAAAAAGGTGCTTGACTTCATTGAGAATGAGATAAATTGTATCACTATTATTAATATCTTTACTTGTCTTACAAAGCATTATCTTCCTGAGCCAGGTGCTTCCTAAGGGTAAGTTCTAACCTACCAGCTTTCCTAGCTTAAGGCGAGTCTCATAGTTTCTATCTCGGCATGATTTGTTACCATTAAGTGAATCACTGTTTCTCTGTTACAAGTTAGTTTCTTCCTTGGTAAAATTTGGGGGTAACAAATGCTCTTGTATCATTAGTGATACAAGTAATCATTACATCTCAGTGTAAGCCATCCCTGCAGAAGGGTGATCTTTTGCAGCCAGTATAGTACTGCATTTGGGTGGCTGAGTGGAAGATTATGAGTATGAAATCTGGATCTGGACTGCCTGGGTTTGAATTCTCATTCTGTACTTTCTAGCTACATGATCCTGAACAAATTATTTCTGGTCTTCTCTGGTCTTTAGTTCACTTATCTATAAAATGAGACTAATAAGAATACCTACTTCATAGGAGGACAGTGAGTATTAAGTGAGGTTATATATGGGAAGTACTTAGAACAGTGCCTAGCATTCTACTGCTTTGATATATGTCCGTTTCAGTTTTGGGTCAATAGGTGTCAATGGTTATGAACATAGGCTAAAGTCAGAAGAAATTCAGTTTCTGGCTCTACTATCTCCTAACTCTATAACTATGGGCAAGTCATGTAAAAAAAATACACCTGAGCCTCACTTGTAAAAATTGAGCTAATAATGGTTACCTTGTATAGGTGCCATGAGGATTGAGAGGGAAAATACAAAATGCCAAGTGCTGAATATGGGTGTAGTACATGGTATTTGCTATCATTTAAGCAGGTCCCAGGTACTGTTCTTGCCCTCAGATGCTAGAGGTGAACAGCTCCTGGGCCCCAAACCCATAAGTCCTATGCACTGACCACTGGGTGACTGAGGAGAGTGAAAATGTGTGAAAGTTAGGGTGGAAAGACCACAAGAGTTTCTCCCATTTATGTGTAGGTCCTGGGTAGTGTAGTTAACTAGATGAGACCAGTACACTTTTTAGGGGCTCAGATATGGGGGCATCCCAGTACACTGGTAACTAACAGAATGCAAGTTGTATGTCTGACATGAAGAGCTTTGGGGATCCTTGTGAGAAAATACCTCGTTGATCAGTCTTCCTGGAAGGAAAGGTTTATAAGAGGAATCTAAAAAAAAAAAAAAAAAAAAAAAGCGCACAGATGGGAGATGCTGAAGAAAATACTGGTCAGGAAGTCACAGTACGTCATGAAGAGCTTTGAATCCCAGGCCAAGGTATTTTTCCGTCCGTGATTCAGTAAGGAATGGGAGACCTTGTATTGCCAGGTGGCTGTGAGATGGGAGCTAGACTCTGAAAAGCACCCAGGTGCACCGTGACAACAGTGGTTTAGAAACCTTCTTGTTTGGCTGGCACTGCCATCAGACTGTCAGATGCTTGTAGAAGATGATATCTGAGAGAGATATGCCTAGTACAGTTTTAATGCCAAATTATGTTTGCACATTTCCAAAAAGGAATGTTAAAGGTGGCTGCGTTATTATTGTGAACCTTATTATATCATCTTATTATTGCATGCAAACTAGAGATAAAATGCATTAGTACCTGACTGTGGTGGTGGATGCCTGCACAGGTTAGAAAATTGTATAGAATACAGGTACATACAAATAAGAACAAGCAAGACTAAGGAAATATAAGATCGGCGGTGTTGTATCAATGTAATATCCTGATTGTGATTTTATATTATAATTTTGGAAAACATTACCATTGGGGAGAACTGAGCAAAGTGAACAAACGGTTTCTCTGTGTTATTTTTTGCAACTGCATGTAGATGAATTTTCTCAACAAAAAAATTTCAATAAAAAATACAATAGTAAAAGTTACGTTTTGTAGAAAGGAGTCACATTCCCCCTTCCTCAGTTACCTACATGTAAGAGATTCTTGGGGCACATAAATTAGGTGCCATTATTTATCCTGAGGCCCCACTGGAAAGAAGAGCAAAGTGCCTGGAAAGGATGAGGCCAAGAGTACAGGAACCGCTTTGCTATTTAGATTTAAGTGAAACTGAACATTACAATCGCCCCAGATTCTGACAGTTCTGCCACAGCGGGTCAACTTTATCCAGCTGTTTTCTGATTTACCCATTGGCTCTACTATTTTTGGGTCACTACCTCCAAAGGTAGCATTAGAATAATTATCTTATTATGGAAGTGTAGCTTATCTACGAAAAGAAAAAGGAAGAAAGGAAGAAAGAAAAAAAAATAGGTATGACATGAAGTTGCCAGATATAGCCTTTTAAAATTTAGGGAGTTTTTACCTGACCCATTACTTTAGACAAGTACAACCCACAGAGATGAGTGAACTTAATTTCTTGAGTGACTTGGAGAAGACCGTGCTAACAGAGTAGCGTTATTACGAACTCTGTAATTATCCTTTCTCTGCTATGCTAAAGGTTACCCTTCCCAACAAACAGCAAGGCCTACTTCGACTTGAAAGAGAGCCCTGAACTTTTATAAAGTGAAAGGAAAGAGAAGAAGAAAAGGCAGGCTAGGAATTCGGCCCCAGGAAGGCATCCACCGCACTGTAGAAGAACCACCTGAATTTCCAGAAAAAAAAAAAAAATTGTCTTCCCCTGACTTGCAGATTTCCACCAGTCCAGCAGCGTTCTAAGCGGCCGCCGGAGCTTCTGAGTCCGCGAGGAGGGAAACTGAGGCAGGTTAGACGCGGCGAGAGTAGCTCGCGTCTGGGAGTTAGCCTCAAGTAGGGAACCCAGGCTTCCAGAGTCCTCCGCGCTGGCGCAGACACCTCCATGCCGCCCTCCTCCCGTCCGCCCCGCCCAGCTCGGGACAAAGCCCGGAGCCCGCGCCGGGCGGGTGCAGGGCGGCTCCCGCGCGCGCCCCGCTCC